CATTGAAACCCAACCGGAGCAAAACGAGTCTTTCACAGCCTGATGAAGCTGCTCTGCTTTCTGTTTCCTCCCTTGAGGTTGCTGCATCCACCGGCCACTCAGTGACACTGGTGGACATGACGGACGACGTCCTGAAGAAAGCGATGAAGGGAATCCAGGCCAGTCTGAGGAGAGTGGTGAAGAAGACGTTTTCTGAAGACCCGGAGGTGAGGCACCGCAGATCCTCGGAGGAACAGACGGAGGCGATGAGCGTTTCACAGAGAACATCCTGGTTTCTCCTCAGTCTGGCGACGAGTTCATCCAGAAGGTGATGCAGAAAGTGTCGACCTCCACTGACCCTGGAGCCGCCGCCGCCTCCTCAGACCTGGTGCTGGAAGCCATCGTGGAGAATATGAAGATCAAACAGGATCTGTTTGGTTTCCTGGACAAGATGGCGCCCGAGTAAGAGTCACCGCTCAGTTAACATGTTGGAAATGTTTCAAACAGGACTGATTTTTTTTTTTTTACTGGTAAAATGTGTTCATGTTGTTTTCTTCACACATGGTTGTTTTGCGCTGCATTTAGAGTATCAGCACATTAGCATTAGCTTCCACTAAATGTTTTATTTTTAGCAGAACTGGTATTTGGGATTAGTGCTTTAATGTGTTTCTATTAGCAGATTAATGGAAGGCCTCCAAACTGAGTTCCATCTCAATGTAAAATTGTGACCCGTTGAGTTTCAGTTGTTGTATTTTCTGTTGCAGACACACCGTCTTCGCCAGCAACACGTCCTCGCTGCCCATCGGTGAAATCGTCAGCACCACCAGCAGGCAGGACCGGTGCGGAGGCCTCCACTTCTTCAACCCTGTTCCCATGATGAAACTGGTAGAGGTGGGTCACACACAGACACGAGCCGTCCAGACTGGTTTTTGATCAGAACCGAACCAATGAGCAGGCTGCAACTGGAGCTGCTTTTTCCTGTAAACACAAAGTAATTGGCTCAGATTAGGTCTGGTTTTTAGCCCCTTTAGCAACTCTTCTTGTTCCCAAAGTATTATGTGTTTTAGAGGCACATAGTGCCATTTTATAGCATAATCTAGTTGTCACCTTCAGTTTTCATACACAATCTGTTTGTATCAATATGACTTTAAAAGAAATGTCTTAATTAAGACCTTGAAATTGGGCCTCTGACTCTTTAAAAACTCCAGCTCTGCCTTCAACATGGCTCCTCTGTTAACCCTTTAATGATGTTTTTACCAGCATTAATCGGAGAAGAAGCTCCTATAATGAGCTCAGCAGTTCCAACAGGTGTTTGCTAATTGCTGCTGGCTAGTCTGAAGGAGCTGAATGGGGGAGAAGCTGCGGCTTGAAGGCGGGGCTAGGTCCACCCTGACGTTTTGCACAGCTGAATGCTTGTCGTGGATTTCTTGAACACGCATGAAAGAATCAAAGCACCTGCAGGTTTTTGATGAGGGCGCAGCCCCTTTGAAAACTGACCAACATTGGTCGATACTGATGCTGATGCCAGTAAATCCTGCATCCTGGCTCTGCATCCTGCCTGAACGTTGGACCAGTTTCCCAGCCTGTTGCCTCGAATCTTTTCCTGGTTCTTGTTTCCCGGACGCTTGCGTCGCTCCAGTCGGTAAAGTCTCAATCTCCTGCAGGTCGTCGCGACGTCGTCGACCAGCCCAGAGACGGCTGAGTCCCTCCTGAACTTCACCAAAGCGCTTGGAAAAACGCCGGTGTGCTGCAAGGTGAGGTGGAGGAGTTGAGGTCGGGCCGTCGGACGGTTCCGGTTCCTGAACCCTGCCTTGTTTGTCCAGGACACCCCTGGGTTCATCGTGAACCGGCTGCTGGTTCCCTACATGATGGAGGCCCTGCGGCTGCATGAGAGAGGTGCGTCTCCGTCTGCTTCGAGGTAAAACGCTTTCCATGGTTTCAATTGAACTTCTTCCTGCAGGCCACGGGTCCATAGAAGACATCGATACCGCCATGAAGCTGGGCGCCGGGTATCCGATGGGACCATTTGAGCTCAGCGACTACGTGGGACTGGACACAATGAAGTTCATCATAGATGGTGGGTATTTACTAATAAGGCCTTTTATTGCTGTCAGTATTTAATGCAGCTGAAACAAAATAATGTTAAAATTCAGTAGATATTTATTTTAATTCAGCATATGAGAATTTACCCTTTATTATGAAAAGACAGTGAACCCTCTTCAAACATGAGAAAACTCAGGTTTTTAAGAAAATGGCGGCTTATCAATTGTTAGTCAGTCGATAAGATCTGTCAACGTTAGAAAAACTGGTTAATCGATAATTTGGACCTAAATAAGCCTCTTCCTCCTGAATCTTTAGGCTGGAGCGAGAAGGAGCCTGATAACCCGATCTTCGCTCCCAGTGAACTCCTCAACAAACTGGTCGCTCAGGGGAAACTGGGCAAGAAGACGGCAGAGGGATTCTACAAGTACAAGAAGTGATCGGATCAGAACTGGTGCAGCGGAGCCTCCAGGGAGATCGGAACAGAAAAGTGCCTCTCGGGTCGTTAACATCCAGACATCAAGCCTGATTAAACACATGCTTCAGAATCAACTGCCTGTGATTTATTTAAAGAAAAATAAACCATTAAAATGATTGATTACCGGAGCAAAACGATTCTCTGAGCCGAAATATTTCAACCCAGTGTTTTTCAAAGTGGGGCCTCCAGGGGGCGCTAGAGGAGACTCAGAGAACTGGAGGGGAAAAAACAGAAAAAATGTAAGTTTTGGGCAAAATGATTTCTTGGGATTTTTTTTAAAGGAATGAGGAATGTAGTTCATGCACAGAAATGCAACAGTTATTGAATAAATAATAAAATTGATGTTTCTTTCTGTACTTTATAGCATCGCAAATGGGTTCGCAAATTTTATCTTTCAAAATTCTATGTATTATTTCACTTTAACAAAACATTTTTCCTGTTATAAATGAAATGATCTGCAAAAACAAAATATTTAGGAGTTATTGACGCAAAACAAACTCCTATATGTTGCTGAAAAGTTCCTTATAATTTAATTTTGTCTTATCAGAAACTTCACCAAAGTTTTTGTGTTTTCACTCTACAGACTGCAAACGTTTTCCAGTTTGGTTAAAACAAAATCCAGATTTTTCTGTTTCTGTTAACAGGAACAAACATCAACAAAACCACCATCAGTAGGAAGATCACATCTATGAAGTCGCTAGAACGTTTTCCCAGTGGTTCTGCCGGCCGTCCCGGTTCTGTGTACGCTGCGGTTCCTCTGTAGTGGTCGCAGCGAACCAACAGAACCCGACCACTGAAACATCTGCTGGGGATCTCTATAGCTACGCAAACAGACAGAAGAAGCTAATTTAGAGAACTGAGTCGGGAATTTTGACGTGGATCTTCAGGAATCTGACATTCTGGAGTTTTTTCACACTCAGATTTGTTTCAATTGAGTTTTGGAAGTACAAAATCTTACATTTCAGCTTCATGTTAATGTCTACAAACAGAACCTGGAGGAAAACTGAACCGAACAGCTGCAGATGTCAAAGGTCAAAGTAGAGACCAAATGCCAGGATGTAAAAATCTTATCAATTACAGAAAATGAAATCAATTTGAGCCACTGAGACATTTTTCCTCATATTTACTTGTTTATGTTGAACTTCTGGTTTTCAAAAAAGCTGCAAAGGATCAAAATGATCACAGGTGCAAAACATAAATAAAACCTCCTGCTTTTATTCTGAAAGAGGACCCATACTCGCTTCCTCCTGTTGTCTTTTTTCTACTTAAAAAACAAATTATTTGCATCTTTTAGTGTATTTCTAATATATTGAAAGAAGGCCTGAAGAGGTCAAATGAAAAATCTGCAGAATGTGACGATGTTTTAATCAGATTAATTGTTTGAATAATTAATAAAATAATCATTAGTTGCAACCATATAAAAGTCATGCAGAAACCATCAGTTTATGGTTTTTATGATCCGCTGAAACCGGACTGGAACTTTGTGCCAAAACTTTCTCCAGCTGAACAGAAACAAAATGAAGTGATTTTCTTTGGACCCGAAGAGGAACGATGTTATAGAGTTATAGATCTAGAGTTATAGCTCTAGAGTTGTAGCTCTAGAGTTATAACTCTAGAGTTATAGCTCTAGAGTTGTAGCTCTAGAGTTATAACTCTAGAGTTACAGCTCTAGAGTTGTAGCTCTAGAGTTATAACTCTAGAGTTGTAGCTCTAGAGTTATAACTCTAGAGTCAGCACACAGCTTCAGTCACAGCAGCTGGAAATCAGAATCTGGGTTTGAACCTTCTGAGTCACATAAAGACAGTTACATAGTCAGCCTTCTATGATCTGCAGAGCATTTCTAGGATTTCCAAGAGCTAGAGAAACTCATCCATGTGTTTCTCTTTATTACTCCAACAGTTCTGCGTAAAAAATCTGAAAACTGCAGCCAATCCAGGACCACAAACTTAGAACAAACCTCCAGAAAACTGAAAAACAGCCGAAATGCTGAGTTTCTTTAAGTCAAGGTTAAAAATCCAGATCCGTCGAGCCGATTTTGATTGATTTGTAACTGGAACACTGATTAATTTCTGTATTAATTCAATATGAGAATTGCTCTTGGTTTTGACTGAACGTAATATTTGTTTGCTGTTCTGAAAATGTTTTAATCACATCATTTTCGCTTTGCTAAAATGAGCAATTCAAACAAACAGGACTAAATTACACATTATTCCACTTTTATATATATATATTTAAACAAAACTGGATAAGAAATGAAATTAAGATAATATTATTCGTGCAACACCAAATAACCAAATATGTGGTTATTTAGACGTTGACCAGAAGATGGAGCAGTTTCCTCAAAATTACAGCAGATCGGATCGAAACACAACATTCAGATTTTATCCTTTAATCAACCTTCAAATTTATACACAGTCTGTACATTAATGTTTTTGTTGCTGTCCGTCTTCCAGCTTTAAAGCACGTTAAGGTTTCAGGTCTGTTCACCACACGACTCATCAGATGAGACAATGGTGCCTTTTTATTTAGAAAAAAAAAAGAAAAAGAACAAAAAACATATTGAAACAATTCAAATATGACTTCCTGGGAAGCAAAATGCTCCTCCAAGATAACAGTGACCCAAAATATTAAAATAATAATAATAATAAAAAATTAATTTGTCAAGTAATACTAAAAATAGAGCATCAAAATAAAATTAAAAAAATGTTACAGAGATGGAATAAACAACATGGCTAAAAAGACCACACTATTAGCTACCAGAGAGAGAAAAGACAAAAAGGTCCATTGCAATAAAAGAAAGACTGTCAAGTGCTGGAGTAAATATATATATCTGCTTCATTTGTCGTGTTTCCGAGCAATAAAATCCTGATGTAGCCTGCAAAAATATCCAGAAAAATCCAACATATCCTGACAGTTTTTAAAAAGTACACATACCGAGCGTTTATGTTACATCCGCGCCGACCCCGAGGTCACTATTTGTTACAAATAGTTATCAAAAGAAGCCGCAAGTTTCGATTTTCTGCAAGACGCTCCAACAAGAAAAATGGCTTTCTTGTGTCCAAAAGCTTATTTTCATATATACCACTATAAAAAAACAAACAAAACCAAAATCACTAAAATATACACCGAGAAGATGAAGCGAGATACAAAAACAAAAGCATTCAAAATAAAGTTCAGTCTAAATAAAGCAAAGAGAGAGAGAAAGAGAGAGAGTCAAAATGATCCGTTTTTTTTCTCCGCATCGGACGTTTGGTGAGACGAGATGAGATCCCTCCGTCTTCCTTAGTGCAGTCAGTCGAAACAACAAAAACAAAAACAAAGAGGCGTTTGGTCGGGTGGAACGGTCCCCAAAACGTTACCAGTGAGAGGGCGGAGCGAGGGAGGGGCGAGCGAGGGCCTGATGGACTATACAAAAACGGACAGGTGACAAATAAGTTAGAATAAGTTAGTGCCGGTGGAGCAGGAGGAAGAGGAGCAGGAGGAAGAGGAGGAGTCTGTGCTGCGGGTTTTCAGTGCAGAAGACAGACGGAGGGTTTGGTGCGACGGCGCTCCCGCTAAAATCCTGATTGTCTCGTTCAGTTCAGTCTGCGGAGTGGAGGCGCCTTCAGGAGGCGAGGGAGGAGCTAAATCTGTCCCGGTGTGGTGGAGGTGAAGGTGGAGGAGGTGGAGGAGGAGGGGGTCCCGCTGAGAACCGGAGAGTTTTGGGTCTTCGTGGAATCTAACAGGCCTCCATCTCAAGCAGAGGACCCGATGATGCTGCCTTCGCTTTGCACGTCGAAAAGCTGTTCCTCTTTCCTCCTGAGGGAAGAAAACAGAAACGCTGAACGTCTGCACCACAAACTGACCAGGAAATATTGAGATAATATGGCCATTTAGAAACCATTTAGAAACCATTTTCAACATATTAATGCAAGAACAACTTTAATTTCTGAAGAACATTTAACACCAGAAGTGGAAACTATTTTCAATATCCAAAATAAACAAAGAAAACAATAATTAAAATGGATTATAAAGTCTCTGTAACCAACACTGGATTTAAACAAAAATTAATCAATAAAAATCAAGTCATTCAGCTCAGACAAGGAAATCAGGCAAAAGTGGCAGGAAGTGAAGATTAACCACTTCATATTGGTAAATGTTTGCAGTTTTTTCATGTTAAAATAAATTTTAACATGAGATGCTCTGTGAGGAGGAAGCTCTTAAATCTGGAAACTGCAGCTCTGAGGAGGAGCTCCGCCCTGGAAGGCGGGGCTAGGTCCAACCAGGTGTTTGCCACAGCGTTTTCAAACATGCATGGAGTAATCAAAGCAACAGTACAGGTGTGTTTTTGATGAGGGAATAACATGATGGAAAGCTCCAAAACTTGATTTTACATGATACTGGCCTTTCACAGTGGAGCCTGATGAAGCTTATTGTAATTATTATGTGATTAGTTGATTTATTGCTTATTGTGAAAAACTCATGGGCAGTAAAACGTCGCTCATATTCCAGACAGGCGCGTCAGGCGCTCAGCGCCTCAACCCGCAGGCGCTCAGCGCCATTCCCACCGCCGTCCTCATCCTCGTCCTCATCCTCGTTCCCATCCATCAGCAGCTTGGTTTTTTTTTTGGTTCTCAGACATTCAGCTGACTGAACCGAGCGGCGAGCCACGCTCTGAACTCCAGAGGAGGTCAGAGGTCGGCGACAGGAAGTGGGCCGGCCCGGCTTTGATGACCCAGCTGGCAGCACTTCTCTGTTTCAGCCGAGCAGCTTCTGGCTGACATTTCAGCTCCGGCTGCAGGTGGGCGAGCGGCGGGGAAACAGAAAAGAAATCCGGCTTTTTCCCCTCAATGCCCACATTATGCATTTATAACAGCAGAAATAAAAGGTGCAACCTCAAACGTAACTGGCCCTCTGACAGTTCCCAGTCCGCTCTTGGCAGCCTGGACTGGTTTTACAGCTAATACTCAGCTATTAGGAGAACAGTTCTTGCTTAATGTGAGAAAGGTTCTCATATGTTTTAACAGCTCTTCTTCCTTGATCCTCCCTGAACTGTTATGGCTAAATTCATGCAGCAGGTCTTGATGTTCAGATTTTTGGCTAAAATCAGATTTGTGTTTGTGTGTTTTGAATGGTTGTTTATACTAATTAAACACGACCACAATCAGACCTCAGAGCGGTTTACGACCCCTAACGCAGCAAACATGAGCAGAAGAAGAACGCTGACGTCACTCAGCAGTTTGGATGCCGCCGTCTACGGATCGATTTTAAAGCTGTTGAGCAACAGGATAAAATCCTAAGACGAATAAACTAATAAAAATAAAGATCTGAAAAGATCATAATGGGTAAAAGTCAAACATGGGTCGCGTTCGGGCAAAACTAAAGTTCTTCCCATACTCATAGACATCCAGGGGAAGAAGCAAACATGCAACTTTCCGTTTGCAAGGCAACTACACGTCCCTGTGAGCTCCCTCTACTGGTCAGGCAAAGAGTTAATATATGCAGCCGCATGTCATCAGCATAGAAACGAACAAAGCTATATTTCAGAAGACAAAACTTCTGAAAAGTGGAATAAAGGGAAATACAGTTATTTTCAAATTCAGAAATAGTCTATTGATTCCAAAGGGAAATTAAATGATTTTCCCCCTCAATGCCCACATTTCTATTTTATAACAAAATAGAAAAGTATGGAAAAACATTAACAAGAATCTGTCCAACTACACATCATCCAAAATAAGAAGAAACCAAAAGGCAGGAATGAAGTTTTGAAAAAGAAAAAATGAAAGTCCAGAGCTACTCCAACAAGCGGCCACCCTGAACGGGGCAATTCTAGAAAACATGCCTGGAATATGTTTCTAAAAAATTGGACCAATGCAATAAATAACAGACTGCTGCATCCGATGTGCACAAAGTAGCGTTACAGTAGATCCTTCCTCCCAGCTGTTAGACGCTACAACCATCACTCCTCCCAACAAACTCAGTAAATATTTACATCCCTGCTGAATTTTTGGACAATTTCATCAAAGAAAAGCAAATCCACAGCCAGAGAAAATGTTGGTCTTTTTGTGAAGAGCAGCTTTGGAAACGAAGCATTTGCTTCACTGCATCAAGTTAAACCAGTTACTTACCATGCATGCACACCAGCTCCGTTTAATCCGCTTTAATCAAACTCTAGTTCATTTTATACAAAGTTCGGTTTGTTTGTGAATTTGTAATCTGATCTGCCTTCAAACCTCGGTTCGCGTAGCATCAACTCTGGTCTGCTTCGAACACATATGTAAAGATAAGCGGACTAAAGACCGCTCCAATAGCAGGAAGTAGACTACAGCGCAGGGGATTCTGGGTAAATACAACCTAAACAAATGTCAAAGTCTATTGCTGGCTGGAGAAATGGTTTGTGGTGTTTACCAGCCACAAACAAAATCCTACAACAGCTCAGATCTAACGCCACTCCATTTTTTTACATGCTGAGAAGAAGGCAGCTTCTTCTTAACAAGTCGTTTTCATCAGTGGTTCTTGCTGCAGCGCCCCCCACAGGCGAGGAGGGGAACAGGTTTTCAAAGGTTTTGTTTCATTTGACACAGTGCAGCTTGAAAGCAAACCAAACGGCTGGAAATGTAACAAATCAAATGAGTCAACCGGACTATCAGGTGTGAAAACAGTCTTAGTTTCATGACCTACATCTGATCCAACACAAAGACTTGAAGCTTTATCCAAAATGGCCCCCCCTTCCTCACTGGGAAACTGTTTGTCAGCCGGTTCTTTTCCCCCTCTGTGATCTGGGCGAACGTATCAGAGTTTGGTTCAGCTATTGACAAGCTATAAGGGAGAGTTATTTCAGGCCAGAGCAGCATCAAATAGAATCTGTGATCAAAGTGGAGAGGCAGAGATAGAGGTGAGCAGACGCCTCCTGCGACTCAAACGATGTCTGAACGGTGAGGAGGAGCGGAAAAAAACCAGCCATATTAGTTTGTTTGTCCCTCGTGGCAAAGGAGAGTCAGCAGAGTCCTGCAACGTGAAGCCCTAAAACACACAGGCAAACAGACTGCTTCCCCACATGCGGATAAAAGGGAGCGGGACGGAGGAGCGCTGACCCCGGAGCTGCGCGCGGAAAGACAGGGAGAGAGATCTCCTGTCGCTTTTATTTACCTCCGCCGCCCTCCGTCTTTTCATCCCAGGATCTGAAGGCAGGCCCGCGCCCGGCCCTGCACCCAGTTTCCTGGGGAGCGTTTTTCCTTCCCCCACGGCAGACATGAAAAGCACCGACCTTCCTGCCTGGGGAAGAGTCCTGAGGGCCACTTCATTTGAAAAGAGGAGTTAAAAAAACAAGTGGCAGTGGTTGCAGCGGGGCTGCTTGGCTGCACACTGTAAAACACAGTCTGTGTTGTCCAAAACAAAAGTTCCTGGATGATTAATTATCCCAGAAGTTATCACAATAAACCATAATATTCAGATAAATAAACTTATTTGATGACATTTCAAATAAACAAATACTAATAAATAATCAAAACAACAAATAAAATGAATTATGAAGTATCTGTAAAACATTGTACTTCACAGAAAGGGCAAGTTTTTAAACAATTAATCATTCCAATGGAAATCATTGAGCTTGTTTTAATTCATCATGTGACCTAAAAACTTAGACTTTACTTTCTAAAATGTATCCAAACCCAAAGCCAAAACAAAATGTTCAAACTTAAGTGTTATTATGTTCAAACTGCTCATCTTAAGTTTACACAACTCGACCAACTTGATCATTTTAAGTTGTGATGACATAACAGTTCACATAACGATTGTAAAATCCAATTAATTCTCCTCTTAAAAACTTAAATTTTATTAAAATATATGGTCGACATTAACTTGTGTAATTTCACTGAGATTAAGTTAATTTATTCAATCTATGTTAGAATTACTTCCATTTACTTCATTTTTTAAACCTGAAACTTTATATAAAAAGGAAACCATGTGATTGAAACTGTTGCTGCTTTTTATTTAATTCTGCTCAACAGGAAACAGCAGAGACAGTTTGTTCACTGTTTTCATGCGCAGGGATATGAAAACCAACATGAATCTGTTTCATGTCTGCAGTCTGAAAGAAGCGGCGTTTCTAAACTGTTACCTTCATAACTGCATGTCGAATTGCTGCCATTGATACATGTCTAGAGTCTGTTGTTGATATTGTTATCATTATTAAAACTTATTTTTTTGCCAAATAAACAATGATTTAATTACTTGCTGCAATGCATTATGGGATACCTCACTTGCCAATCCCAACTATCTCACAGCCTTTAAAACATTTTTATGTTTGAAGACCCTCAACTTCTTTAAATAAAAATCTTATAAATTAAATCCACCTCATTTATTCAACTAAAGTCAACATAGTGACTCACTATAAACCGAAATCAAAACTTTTTCAGTTAAAAACAACGCAATAATTTACAGTGCAGGCTGGGATTCAGGAGCAACTTGACCCTTCCTCACCTCCCTCCTCTTCCTCCGTCTGCATTAGAGCTGAAGAATGCTCGCTGGAATCCGGCTTTTTTTTTCTTCTTTTTTTTTGCAGGAAATGAAACGCTCCTCTGTTTGGAGGCGAGTGAAGCCTTGGCCCTCCTCCCCCGTTGCCTTTACGCGACTGGCGGACGGAGGGACGGAGGGACGGGGGAGGAAGGAGTCTCCCCCGGCGTTTGAAGTGTGGGAGGTTAAGATAACTGGCACAGCCTCGTGCCTCAATCGCTGCTTTCACCTCGCCGGCCAAATCAAAGCACCCACAGCTGCCCCCCCCCCACCCCTCCTCCACCCAGAGCGATGGGGTTTTTCTG